TTAAATCTTTCAAATTAATTTCTACCAGACGAGACTTTCATATTTGATTGTATGTTACATAATGTTTAACCAATTAAATCATTTTATTAAGGATAAACACTTTGAATTAGTGTATGAACTAATTTTTTTTCTACATAATGTATGAACTAATTAATATAATAATATATTTTCAAAGACTTTCTTTCTAAAAAAATATATTAATTTTAGGAATTAAAATAACAATATGATTGATGATTTTAACGACCAAATAGAAGGTTTACTATGGTGAAAAATGAATTATATATAATAATGATAAAATATTTTTAATGCAAATTTTACTATATTACAATTTAAATTAAATAACTTTATAACTTTAAAATTTTTGTTGTTATTAAATTAAAATAAAAAAAACATAATAAATTAATCGTAACTTGATATATTATTATTTTTTTGTATTATATATTCAAAGTTGAGATATGATAATTAAAAACTTCAAATTGAAATATCTGAGATTACCGGATGAAACCAATTAATGTCATTAAATATGTATAAGCATTTAAGATATGATATAGTATTAAATTTGAATATCTTATATGTTCAGACATCTTATCATATTAAATTTTATATCTTATATTTAAGTATCTTAAACATATATATACCAAACGCGATGTTTCTAGAAAAGAAAATGTACAAGTGCATTAAATATGTAAGTAAACTTGTCTATCTCTAGCATTAAGTAGTTGCCTCATCATCGCCATTCGCCACCCACCTTACATTGCATTTGCATATCGAATCTCCACTTATTGTTTCACTTCCAGGATTTTTTTATTATTTATAATTAAAATACATTGATACTAAAAAGCAATTTTTTTACATTATTAGTATTTTTTTTTCTTACAATGGACATGCATGCATGTTTATTATATAATATAATTAAAATTTATAACAATTTATATATATATATATATATATAAATATTATATTTTTATATAATGATAATGATTTTATATTATATATCCTGAATTTATTATCTGTGTGTATAACCATTTCAACATACTTACATTTAATGTTAACAGGATAAA